CATAATGTCATTGTTGAATCAATATTCCATTGAGAAATATTTTTTATAAATTTCATTTTGAATTATAATCATGAGTAGTAAGTGATTTAAAATACCCTAATTTTTTAAAGTATCTTAGTATTCTAATTAGTTCGTACAACAAAGGAGAAAAATTGAGCTTTTATAGAGTTAGTTTTAATATAAACTCTCACAGGATTCATTATGCTTATAAAAACTTAATTATTTTATGCTTAGCAGAAACGCTTTTTTCTTTTGGATATTTCTAACATATAAAGGTCACTTTGAATTGCTAGAAATTTATTTAAGTGTGGCATTAGAATTTGAACCACTAAACATGAATACATTTTAAAGTATTTGCATAGGGATCTAGGAACTAAAACACATAACAGTTTGAAAACATTGAAAGAACCTATAAGAATTACACAAATACCTCATTCCATCTACTTTAAACACTCAGAATGACTCATAAAGCAATTTATGATTAAATTCAGTAAATAAGTTTCTTTCTATAAAGCACTTTGAAAACAAATATCCTTTCCCTAATTTATCAATTACTCTGTTTTTATCTTCAAAGCTCAAATAATAAAATTCATTTATTAGCTCAATAATAATATAACAGTGTTTTATCATTTGAGTTTGATTACTAAAATATCAAATATTTGAACATCACGTTTGAAATAGAATGCTTCAATTTATATATGGCCATCTCTCCAGATGAAAAATCACTTAAATTTACTTTTGGATTAAAAGCAAAAATAGTGTGTTCCATTAAAGATAGATTTAATGAAACATTTTAATTAAATGAATTAGAATAAAACAGAATAGTGGTTTATTGTATGATAATAAAAATCACAGTAGTTAATAATGGTATTGTTTGTAATTGCACAATAAATACTCACCCTGAAAATTGTATGTACAATATTGAAAATATTTAAGATAACAAAATGCTAGGGTAAGAAACAACAATCATCTCAACAAAATCACAGGAAAAGAAAATTATCTCCTGAAAAAAGGAGTTAGTTTCCCTGAAAAAGAAAAGTATCATACATCTAAACATAGAAAGGTCCCAGCTCTCTCCTACCACCTCTAACAAAAACACTTTCTCACAGGAGCACTGGGGAAAGAAGGTCCCAAGTTTCACTAATTTCTGTGGAGCTGATAGTCGCCATCCCATTCTCCTCAATAGGGTAACTCACAGTAAAAATGATAAATTCAACCTTTTGTATCCTTTTGCCAGGGATTCTCTTATAACTCATACCATCCTAAGAAATATCTGGCAACTCCAAATTGTTCATTAAATAATAGAATGGGCTGGGTAGCCAATCCCAGGAAAAGACATTGAACTCTTAAGAGATGTAACACTTAGGACCTAGCCCTTGAATTAAATATCCTAAGCCTTCCTTATAAAAGGGGATAAAACTAGAACCCTAGGTTTATGATACCTTAAGGAATCCCACTCCTAGTCCTCGGTAGTCTCCCTCTCTCCTCCTTTCTCTTCAGTAAAATCACTAAGTCTTTGAAGAAGATTGAGGCATTAGTAAACTCTTTCTGATTTGCCCAAAGAGCTGGTCCTTCCTTGACAGAAGCAAAGGATTTAGTATATTCTCTAAGTACTCAAAATACCACTAAACTTACTTAAAATTATCTGAATGCCATTAGATAGGTTTCCAAATTTACTTTGCTAATCAATCAAGGCATGATTTAGAATTAGCTGATATATACACTGTGGGCATGTTTTAAATTTCTTAGTGAAAAATAAAAATAATTTAATAATGCATTAAAATTAGAGAAAATTAAGAACAAATAATCATCCATTCCTGTAAAAACTGTATCTTACATGTGTGCAGGAGGGATGTGGAAGATGTTGTGTTATTGGCGGGCTCAGGGTAGCTCTCTCTTGCTGCCCATGTTTGGTGCTCTCAAGCCACTGTGTATGGACGGGATCGCAATGACTCCTCCTTTGTGCTTTGCTTCTGTGTGTGCTGCTGTGCTCTCTTCTGTCTGTCTCTCTATTTCTGACTCTGTCTCTGAAGTCTCTCCTCTGGTCTCTTCCAATCTCTCTCTCTGGAGTTCTTCTGCTTCTCTCTATGGAGCCCTTCACTCTGGATTCTGACTTGCCCCTGGATTCTGACCCTGGCTCTGGATTCTGTCTGAATCTGGCCCTGGATTCTGAATCTACTTCTTCTCAGTGCTTACAGTCTGAGTTTATATAACAATCACATAGGGTGGTGACATAAAGGTGGGTTGAATATTAACAAATCCACAAAGACAGGTAATCACTCTTCCAGGAGATTAAATCAAGGAAAAAAATCTCATCTAAAGAAATTACTCTGGATTCCTAGGAGATCCACTTAAGGGCTTAAGGGCGAGATCCCATTCAGGGTATGTCACTTTCTTCTTTCCTCAGCTAGGAATCCACTTAAATAGTTATAGTAAATCTACCTCTAATATTTCTAGCAATGTCGTTCTGTATGAGCATAGTAAACTATATATCAACTTAAAGTTTGGTTCTTCCTGAGGATGTCTTACCACAATCCTCAGGCCAGCTTAGTCTTCCTAACCCCAGCAGGGTCCTAGTCTCATCGTTACTTTAGGATCATAACAGCATTTGTCTATGATCATACTCTCAATTTATAGTTGAGAATTGTGGCGCTTTGGCCTGGCCCATTTCGATGCCAGGGTAGCTCACAGCTTGCCCTGGGTCCATTCAGTCCCTTGTCTGGACCCTGCTTTTGGGGATGCTAGGAACTAAGGGCAACTGAGTTGAGAGCAGATGCCCAGGAGTAAATATTATTGTAGTTAATCAACTCCCAAATTACACAGCATATTATGAACTGTCTTCCTGTGTCCATGCAGAAAGGTAAACTAAGTTCCCTGCATCAAGGCTGAAAGGACAATCCTATTGCTATCCTACACATTTCCATTAAAATATCAAAGTAATTCATATATCTAAAATATGTTATAGAAAACTTTACAACGATTCTAATAAAATTGCATTAATATACTATTGATTAATATTGTGCTTTTTTACCATTATTTATATCCTGTTTTCAAATTACCTATACTGTTTTACTTCTACTTCATACCATGGTAAAAAGAATAACAAACTAAGACTCATGTAATTTGTCTATCCCTACATCGATCAACAAATAATTAATGAGTTAAAGTAAGTCATAACTTCTCTGACTTTAATTTATTTTTTCTGATTATTTATGTAGGTACTGACTAGTTTTATAGGTGTTTTTGTCATACACTTTCTGAGTGAATGTATTCCAAATACAAAAACTGATTACTTTTCATCCTGACAATATCTGTCATTTTTATCATTGTGTTATTATATATTACTAAGTAAAAGGAAATCTATCTTTTGGAGTTGCTTTAATTATCACAACACTGTGTACATATAGGTACTTAATGCATAATTCTAAATTGCTTTTCTCTCTATTCTCATACTTATTTCAATCATGATGCTATCAAAGGATTTTATAATAAAGTTTCCAAAATCACATCATTGTAAAAACCATTCACTGAAGTTAACAAAACAAGAGGATTTTAGTTGCAATGTATCTTGACAAAAGAAGAGAAAGAAACATAATTATGGCTCCTATCCACATGCAATTATAAATATGTTCATACTAATGCAAGTACGATCCATTGAATTTAGTTTTATAATCTAAGAGTGGTTTATTATTTTATCCATTTAAAAATTTTTTTTGAAGGGAGGGATTCAGGTTGCGCCAGTGCTGGAGCGATAGCACAGCGGGTAAGGTGTTTGCCTTGCACGCAGCCAGCATGGCTGACCACAGTTCGATTCCTCCGCCCCCCTCGGAGAGCCCGGCAAGCTACCGAGAGTATTCGATATGCCAGACACAGTAACAACAAAGTCTCCAATGGAGACGTTACTGGGCCCACTCGAGCAAATCGATGATCAACGGGAGGGCCTTTACTTACTTTACTTACTAATCTACGAGGGGTTTATTATTTTATCCATTTAAAAAATTTTTTTGAAGGGAGGGATTCAGGTTGAGCCAGTGATTTTAAAATACTAACTAGTAACTGAAAACCATTTCTTTTTTTTTTCTTTCTCTTGTGCATGGGTTTTTCATTTTTGTTTTGTTTTGTTTTTGCTTTTGTACTTTGGTCTTTTTATTTGTTTTGATTTTTGTTTGTTTGTTTTATTTTGCTTTTTGTTTGGGGGGGGGGCAAAGCTACCAGTGCCCAAGGCTTACTCCTGGCTCAGGAATGATTCCTGGTGAGTTAGGAGATAGAATTGTGTCTAGTCATTTGAAAGGCAAGCATCTTACTCGCTGAACTATCTCTCTGGCACAAGGTCTTTCTATCTGAGTTATTTCAAATCATAATAAATAAAAATAGACTGCAGGGCTTCTTTGTTTTATTGTATTTTTGCATTGCAAGAAGCCTCACACAGAGATGAAGCAAACACATGCACACATGTGGTTGTACCTTTGAGCTACATCCCTGGCAGTTCCAAATCTTTCTAACAGCACAAATAATCAACTTTTATCAAACATAAAGCTAGTTAAGCATACATAAATCAGTCCAAGCACTTCAACAGAAATATGTTCTGTGGTTATGCTATTAAAATAGGTGTGAAATCCATTTACTAAGTCACTTTGGTTTCTCAGAAAAGTAAACAAAAAATCACTCTTTGAATGTTTTAATTGTTTTTGACATATGGTGACAACACATCAGGTGTTGTTTCCACTCTCAAATAGCCCAGGAGAAACACTGTGGAATTAATGACTTAAATGAGAACCAAAAAGGAACGCATAACAGGATTATCAGATATTTCCAGTTCTTCACTTGGAATGATTAAATCCCTGAGCTTTCATATATGTTTTAATACAAACACTTCAATTATCTTAATTATGTCACTTCTTTTAAGAAACAGCTTGTGCTCTGAGATGAAACAACATGGCCTATTGCATAAAGAAATAGAAAAAAAAGGGGACGCATTATATAAGAAATATTATACTCACGGAATGTTCGATAAAATTCTTCAAGAGCCAGGTGCTTGTCAGAGTTAAAATCATCGTATTTTAGTAGATCATACAAAGTACAATCAGAAAGATCCTTGCCAAGGTCTTCTTGTTTTATCACCTGACAAGAAAATGTGACAGATAATTATATATGTGTCTTAACATTTTGTAGAATACTTAGCAACCATATTTTTAAAAGATGATATGAAACTGCAGTTAGACAAATAAATATGTCAATAAGAAAAACCAAGGTTTTTAATTAGTGGATTTATTTATTCATTCATTCACTCATTAATTTTGGCATTCATACCAGAGTTCCATAGCCCAGAGACACTCTGTGGGTGTTCAGTGTAGTAAGGAAAGCCTGGAATTTTCTGGGTTTGGCCTGATGATGCAGTGCCATTCAGCTTAGGGGTGCTGGGTACCAACAGGATTATGCAAGGTTAGTGCCATATGGTGCCAAACTCAGGCCTCATGCATACAACATATGAATTTAAACCATTTTAGCCCCCTGGATTGTGATAGTTTTTATTTTTTCACTATTTGAGAGATAAAAGATTATAAAATCAATAGAGTTTCCTGGAATTTAGTCCAATTTTTCTCTTATAAAAACCTCACAACAGAACCTCCAAAACTTAAATTTTTAAAGATATATTGCATTTCATTATTTACTTTGCTACCTCTATAATTACTCATGTTAATTACTAATTTGCTAAATTCCTAATCTAGTACCTATATAATTGCTACTTACTATCTCAAGAAAACACTGCCTATTTTCAGTGTACATATGTCAAAATAAAACACAGGTTTTTTCCCAACATACATTGGAATGTAGTTGTTCCTCACACTCATGGCCATATTATTTGAGAAAAATTGAAGTTAGTTTCTCATTTTCCCTCTCTCCTTCTAAAATCCTCCCCAGCTGGCTGTGAAGCCATTTGGGATTGTTCATTTAGTCCCCTGGTCACAAAGGTGCTATTAAGCAAATGACTGTTTCCAGGAGCCAGATAGAATTAATGCACCAATTGATGATGGAAAACCATCTAAGAGTGGGCGAGAAAAATCATAAAATTGCTTTTCTACTCAGTGTTTTGTCTTATATATGAGGCTGAAGCTTTTTTATAGTCTGCTGCTTTTGACAGAGAGACACTGAGTTTCCAAACTTTTTTTTTCATACCTTTCTAAAACATTCTAGGTAGTTCCATAGCTCCGTCCAATGTTTTTTTTATGTATATTTCCCCACAAAATGAGGCAATAGTTTGTCTCAGTGTGGAATGTTTTATAGTTTCAAAAGCTGATAGTGAAATTAGAAAATAAAGTCAGAATACAAATGGATCTGAAACTTTATAATGTTATAATGCAGTGTTACTTCAATAAACATTAAGAAAATAAAAAAAAATTTGAATTTTTTAAAAATTGTGTTTTTTGCTTTTATCACATCCAGCAGTATGAAGGGCACTGTGTGGTACACAGGACTCCAGCATATAAAACAAACAAACAAACAAACAAAATGTGCATCTAGCCATTTGACCGACCTTCCTGATTCTATAAAATATAGACAATATAAAGACATCATCCACCTCTGGGTTCACTCTGTGACTTCTGAGAAGTCACTAAACCTTTCTTCAATTAGAAATGGAAGATAATAACATTTCTTTTTCTCATTTTCTCATTTTTTTTCTCTTGTCTGTGAAATGCAGACAAGACAATCAGGTGCAAGTATTAACACTCAAAAGTAGTCCATTAAGGCTAAAATTCGTAAATTTTAATATAATGTACTTCTTTCTAGTAAAATCATTTATTGTAGCTTGTCATATGCATTTGTCTAGGTGATGCATGGCATTCACAATGTATGCTGCTTTCTGTAACGCATCATTTTTTAGAATTATTTTATTACATCATTGGTCTACTGCTGATGCAAAAGACACTCAGGTACCCAAAGGCATTTTTAATTATTTCTAGAACATTTCTGTATTACAGGTTTAGTTGTTCTGTAATATGACTGAGCTACAGAAATTACTCTTAAGATAAAGTGTAGGACACAGACCACTGCTAACACTTAGAGTCGTCTATTCACTCTCTGATGACACAATGATAGCATAGGCATTGACAAATAGCCTGCATGTAGGTTCTTCATTGTGCATTGTATTCAAATTTCATTGGTGAAGCTGATATTTGCTACCACAGGGGAATGCTACAAAAAGCTTTATTTGCACTACTGATCCAATGATAGCATTAAGCCCTGCATTTCAGGACAATCCAGCTGGAGAGATTAGCAAAACTACCTAATGGTTGATGCCATCTATTCTGTAAGCCTAATGGGAAAACAAATAATACTGCTTTTCTATTTAGAAAGAAACAGAGCTCTCAGTCATTCTCCATCTGTTATTTGCTAGAACATGGGAAATGACTTTTCCCATGGTAGGGATCGGCAGTTTGCTGGATCTTACTTCACTACATTCTTCTGAGAGGTCTGCCATGCTAATATTGTAGTTATCTTTAAGGTGCATTGACACTGTGGCTTAGCCAGCAATCTTAGAAGTATTTCAGTGACTTTTGTTGTCATATCCGTTCACAAAGAGCTAGAGATCAAATAAAAATATGGGAAAAAGAATCTGGGCAGGGGCTAAGGCTGATTTCCCTTGTCTTGCAAGGATCAATCCCTAACTGAAGCCACAGCTTCGGAATAAATTGAGCATTGTGGATAAATCCCCATGCTCCACATACACAAAGCAGAGTTCAGAAGAAGTTTGATCAATGCCATTGTGTAGCTTGTGAGACATATGGTTTATGCCACACAAGTACTTATAGCCAAATTTATCACTCCTAACCATACGAGGTCTTCTCATGAGTAGTACAGAGAGCTAAGAGGGAGGTGTCAGACTGCCCTTTGAGGATGCCTCCTTTTTTACCACTTCCACATGTCACCTGTAACACTATCCCCTTCCCACTGGCTTAGGATAAGATATAAGCCCTCAATTATCTAATTACTCTTAGAGGTTCATAAATTTGTGGATCAAAAAGTATGAATTTTTGTTGTTTCTCCTTTGGTCATTTGCCTTTCTTTGCAAAAGATTGGCTTAAGGATCCAAAAGGGCGCTGGAGCAATAACACAAGGGGTAGGGCATTGGCCTTGCAAGTAGCCAACCAGGGTTCGATTCCCAGAATCTCATATGGCGTATCCTGAGCACTGCCCGCCTGGTAATTCCTGAGTGCAATGCCAGGAGTAACCCTTGTGCATTGTCGGGTGTGACCCAAAAAGCAAAAAAGGGAAAAAAAAAAGAATCTAGAAGAAAAAATAGAGAAAATGTTTTCCTCCTTTATAAATACTGAAAACATACTGTCTAGTTTCTATCCTTTTTCCTTAAGTTTTTTTTTTTTTATGAGAACCTTAGCACTGCCCGAGGTTTTTCACATTAACAAGATATCTCCCTTTGTAATTTCAACCAGCAAGAAAAAATTGCTCTGTAGATTCATAGCTTTGATACTTTTAAACTGATGATAGTTTGGCAGTTGAGGAATATTAAAACATGAATTCATCCTAGTAAATGTCGATAGATAAATAATTGACTTGCTTATATAATTCACAAACCAGGTGAAATAATGGATTGTAGTCAAAAAATATTTAGGACAAGAAAACATATTATTTAGGCAAAAGATAAAGTGGCTACCTAATACAAATAACCTTACTTTTACTAATCAGAAAATTCCAGATTTATTGGTTTAAAATTTTACTTTTGGTTTAAAAATAGGGATGAATTAGTCAGTGGAGAATGGCAGTAGAAGTTCTTAGAATAAAATCATTTCTTATTTATAAAAATAGAAACAGAGTGTATTTAACAGTTAAACAAATTTCACTTCGGGGATATGCTGAACTCCAAAGAGTCTTGTTCCTCTCATTTTGAAAGTTTTAGCCCTAAAACTAATTATAAGTATTATCTGTTGGCATTGTCAATTTCATTCTAAGTCAAACACCTTTCTCTCCTTATTTTGTATTCTTAATGGGTTTATTATATTTTTAAATGTTAGGATCAATTACCTTGGCACTCTTTATATATCCATGATTGTTAAATTATTTTTGTTGTATTTGTTCACACTAAAATGACTTTTTATCTATGAGACAAAGCTTTTTATATAAGATTCTTGTCAATAGCATAGAAAACATGTATGCTATTTTACACCTGAACATTAAAAAATTCTTTAACATTTTAGTAGGTTTGATAAATCAGAATAAATATTAACTGTCCATGTCACATGCAACATCTCTATTTTTAAGAGAAATTCGATATATACAGAGATTGCAAAAACACTACTGCCATGCTCATCCTGTTAGCTTAAAAAATATTTAGTCTTATTTATTCTTGTTTTTATTTAATTTTGTAAATGTATTCACATATGGTAGTCATTGAGCAAATGACTTTTAAGTCAAATATGTATAACATAATAATCTAAATCCTGTGTACAAGTAGTTCTTTTTATTATTTTAATAAAAAGTTGGCATGTATGCACATTAGAGTAATATTTCATTCTAATATGCACTCCTAATGTGAATCGGCTTATTAAGTGACAGAATGTAAATGAAGAAAAAGTTAAATCAATATACTCAATACAGCTGCTTATTTAAACTCAGAAAGAATCACAGGGGAATGACTTTGTTTACTTAAATTCATTGGGTGGTTATTTTATCAAAATTGGAAATGTCTAAGCCACAGACTTTCACAGTTGCTTGTTTTGTTTTGTTTTAAGACTACTATGTTTAATACCAACAAATGCAAAACTGCTATTCCCAGAGTTAACTTGCCTTTATATCCTTTCTTTTCTTACCAATAACCAAAGGTGTAAGGCCACAACACAAAAAATAATATCCTTTAAGAATAATTTAGAAAACATTTATGTCTCCATTAAATTGGTCTGTGACCCTATTAGTTCAACTCTTCTCAAATTACTGCATATTTCCCCCAGTTTCTTCCATACTGAATTTCGATACAACTGAAACCCATTCATATAATTTCGGAAAATTTCCTCACCAATAAGAGATTTTTCCCCCTTCATTTACTTGTAAAAAGTATTTATTTACCATAATAACTCTAGAAAATTTTAGCTGACCCTTATGAAAACCATTTGTTAAGTAACTATAGAACATGAAGGAAAAGTTTGCTATTAGATAAATTCTATTTCAATTTATGGAAGAGAGAGAAAATGAAATAGTCTTTTACTGTTATTGTGGAATCTTTCGTCTCAAGAGATCAAAACAAACTTTTCTCGGTATGATCAAAGTCACCTTTCCTATGACTGTCACCTTGGTATGGGAAGTGTTTTCTAAATTATTCAATAAAGTCTTCAGGAACCTCTGAAGTTGATATTAACTTAAAGATTGCAGGTAATTTAAAATTAAAAATACTGAAAACCCTTGAGGCTCAGACTTTGGTGTTCTTGTTCAGTTCTGTAATCAAAGAATCTACATAATAACTAAAATGATCTATTTATGACTTTGCTGAGTATGTTTTTGGAGTTTGGTTGGGGTTATAATGCACAGCTTTATCTGTAGGCATTTCCCTTATATCTGAAAATTTGTACTCAACGATGATGAAGGCATTCCTTCTGTAGCATATAAATTCAACCTTCTATCTTCTCAATTCCTTATATTGAGTATTCTATTTAGGTTATCAATACCTGATTCTTCATTTGGTTTGTTTTAGAAATTATCTCCCTTTTCTATTGAGGCATATGGTCTCTCTCTCCAATTTTATTTATATACATGTAGAAAATGTTATAATCCTTACTTTACATTCTATTATAATTCACAAGTAGTTAATATGAAGTTTGGGTATTACAATTTCTTTAAATTAGCCAATCTCAGTGAAATACATAGAAAAGAATTTATATTTTTCTAAAACATCTTACAATGAAATTTTTGATTATTGAAACATTGTTTTTAGCAATAAGATTTAATAGGCATCTGTTGGATAACACTTCAAAAGGGGTAATATTCTATCACTTGTCATATCATTGATCATAATTTGCTCGAGTGGGTGCCAATTAACGTCTCCATTTGTCTCTGGTGCATGCTAGTGTAGCCCAAAAGGCATCTGCTCACTCCAGGACCATGAAGAGCCTCAAACCGATTGTTCAGGGTTTTGATGAAGAAGTCTGACCATGTCGTAGATGGGCGGTAACGTGTTCTTTTGATTTTCCAGTGAATCCAGTCAGTAACAGCTCTAGTCCAGTGGTCCTCTCTAAATAGCATTACATGTTCAGCCCATCTGATTTTTGTGCCTTGGCAAACAAGACAACATCCCTGATTCTTGATTCTTGATTCGACGGAGGTTGGAACTCTGGATTCCCTCTCTCACTTGAGTCGAACATGATATTCCAAACATAGCTCTTTCAATTCCTCTTTGGAAGACACGAATAGCATTCTCATCCTGTTTTCATAGGACCTAGGTCTATGAGGCATATGTTAGTGCAGGAAGAACAGTGGAGTCAAAAAGATGTGCCCAGAGGAGGAGGTTCTTTGTCCTCTTAACAACTTCTTCAATGCTCTTAAAGGCATTCTAAGTCTCTCTTCCTCCTGCACAGTTCAGGTGCCAGGTCCTTTGCATGTTGAGTTCTAGACCTAGGTGCACATACATAACTGCTGCATTCAGACATGTTTGTTCTTTTGAGGACAAATGGAATGTCAGGAACTAGTCTGTTTTTCATGAACATGTCTTTGTGATATTTAGCTGCAGTCCGACTTTTCCACTCTCATGGTCAAAGTCCGTCAGCATTTGTGCCGCTGGGCTGATATATAATATGTTATTAGAATGATGTCATCAGCAAAGCGAGGGTGGTGTAGTTACCAACAGTCTATCTTCACTCCCATTCCTTCTCATTCCAGTTGTCGCATGACATTCTTGAGGGTGACAGTGAAGAGTTTTGGTGAAATGGTATCGCCCTGTCAAACCCCTCTCTTTACATTAATGATCACGTCCTTGTAGAATGGTGAGATCCTGGTGGTGAATCTGTAATACAGGTCATAGAGGATCCTGATGTACTGAGTTTGAATACCCTGTTTGGCTAGTTTCGATGACCGCTTCAGTCTCAATAGAATTAAAAGCCTTCTTTAAATTGATGAGCATCAGACAGAGAAGCATCTTGAACTCTTGTGAACCCTCAATGAGCCTGGTCACCATTTGGATATGGTCAATCATGCTGAATCCTTTTCAGAACATGACTTGCTCGCATGGTTGTCCTTTGTCTAGTGTTCTGCTAATCTTATTCAGAATTACTTGAGTGAATAAATTGTAGATGACAGACAAAGGGAGATTGGAAAATAGTTGCCAATGTCGTGGATGTCTCACTTCTTCTAGAGTGGAACAGTCCTGCCTATTTTCCACTGGGACAGAACCTTGCATTCAGACAGGTAGCATGTGAAGAGCCAAGCCGGTATATTGACGAGTACTGGCGGCAGATTCTTCAGGTTTTCAGGTCTGACCTTGTCTGGACCGGGTACTCTATGCTTCTTTACTGACTAAATGGCAGAATGCTGGGAACTACATATCTATCCTGTGGAATTTAGTATGTGGGCAGGTGGACGTGGCTATCGAAGATAGCCGAGTAGAAATAGTAGATGATATTCGCCATTTCCCTTCTGGAAGATGTGATAGATCCATCAAGATGTTGGAGGGTATCTTGGTCTTATAGTTGGCAAAGGAGAGGCAGGCATTGCGAATACTTTTCCTGGCTTCTGCCGCATAGTCAACACCGCTGCTCCTCTCTTTTTAAGGTCTTCCTTTATCCCTTCTCTGCACAGCTTTGCAAACTCAAACATTACCTTGTGATTGCCTGAGGTTCGCACCAAACCACATTGGCAAATGAGCTCGAGAGTTTCCCAAGACAGGCATCTTCTTGTGGCTCTCTCTCTCTCTCAGTGTTCCTCACAGAGTCATGCAAGTGCTGAACCAGTTGATCATATTCTTTGTCGATGATGTCAACAATGGCATCCTTCCATACTGCTGCAATAGTGACAAAGAGCTCCCAGTTGGTGGTCATTCTGGGAATTCTCTTAAAATTTGCAGTCCTTCCCCTCTCCCCCCCCCCCCCCCCCCCCCCATGAAGTAGAACTTCACACTAAGGAGATGGTGGTCTGATCCTGTTTGGAATTTTGGGGCAACAGCAGCACTGCTAAGGCAAAACCATCAATTGAGTATGATGTGATCAATTTTCATTGTGGAACTGTTCACCGGGAGACTCCTATGTTCAACTATGCCTTCTGGAATGGCGAGTTACCATGGATGGTCTTGTTCAGCTTAATGAACTCAGACAGTCTCTCAACCTGCTCACGCCATTCTGGGCCGTGGGTCGCAAGGTGGAGTTTTTTGGGCAAACTTCAAGGTCCTACGTTGGCGTTAAAATCACCTACAATGACCTTGTAGAAGGTGTGGCCTTCTTTGTTGAACTTCTCCAGTTTCATGTAGAGCTACTCAATTCCTTCTTTGTTGTAGTTGAGCAATGAAGATTGACAATGACAATGTGCATAGACAATGAGGATAGAATATTATAGCAAGCTATTTTAAAAGGTACTTGAATGTGCCAATATTTTAGCATGATCTGAAATAACTTATTGGCATCATGCATACATGTGTCTATTAATGGCAAAGTATGTCCATAAATTCTTGATAAACAAGCCTTTATTTACTCAAAAAATAAACATAACAAAGATTCAAGAGTATATCTAGAATGGTTACTTAAATTCTATAGTGAATTATTTATTCCTTTTCATACTTAAGATATATATATATAACTGTCAAACTATCTATTTTTCATTCATTTTCATACTTAAGATACATAAAACTGTCAAACCATCTATTTTTGATATATGAGTGCATATAAAATTGCATTTCTAATAGAGTAGATATATTATATTCTTGCAAACATATTTCTATAAGATTTAAAATATTATTGATTAAATATATTGCAAAAATTGCATTAACACAAATATAAAGATATTGTATGCTATATTTATAGAAGTTTGTGAATTTAATAGTCAATCATACCTGAGTTAGTTCATTAATATCTATAAGTCCATTACTGTCAGCATCAAAATATTTAAACATTTGATCCACCAATAACTTCTTCCGAGAAATGTCATCACTGGGATTTTCATTTTCTTGTGTAATATATTTTTGATTTTGTAAATCTAAGAGCATCCTTTTCATCTTGTTGTATTCAGTAGTTTTGCAGTTATTTCCTGAAACAATAACCAAAAAAAAGTTACTTTGAAATAAATCGTTGAAAAATAATTAACTATTTAATTAATGTTTGAAGCTCATGTAATTATAGGTAACATGCATTGTACAGGATTTTTTTTTTATTTATTTATTGAATCACTGTGGGAAAGGTTACAAAGCTTTCAGGTTTATGTCTCAGTCATGCAAATATCAAACACATTTCCCTTTACCAATACTTATTTTTTACCATGAAGAACCCCAATAAAACCCCACCCCCCACCCCTCCCCGTCCCTGTGAGGCAGATGAATTCTAGTTAACACTCTATCTGCTTTGATTAGATTCATTGTTTCAATAAAAGATTCACCACTATTATTTAGAGTTTACCCCCCCCCCCCCAAATCAGACATGCTGAAAAAGCATTGTGAAGTGATTTGCTTTCTACGGCTGGGTTCAAGAATTAAATGTTGGTTTTGGATTTCTGCTCTTTTACCTATTGACCCTGGAAGTATTTCTACTGAAAGTCAGATAGTTAAGAAATTGGTTTCTGTGTTCTGGAGTCCTGGCTGTGCTGGAGAGCCGCTCGCGGGGGGCAACTGGTGGCCTCGGTAGGGCGTGAAGGGCGGACAGAAACGGCCCCCTTCCCATGAGGTTTTAGTCGCCCCCACACTCCCGGCTCATACCTGCTGTCCACAAGGCTCCCATGTGGCCGCCATCTTTCTTTCCAGAGAGGAGAGGGCGAATGGGGCAACACCCTTTCCCCTCCGGCAGACTTGATGGCCTGGATCAATGCATAGTCCGTTCACTTTTCTGCTCCAAGCTGCCGGGTTCTGCATTAAGTCCTTGTGCTTCTGGGGCCGTGGCCGTGCTGGAGAGCCGCTCGCGGGGGGCAACTGGTGACCTCGGTAGGGCGTGAAGGATGGACCAGAACGCCCCCCTTCCCATGAGGTTTTAGTCGCCCCCACACCCCCGGCTCATACCTGCTGTCCACAAGGCTCCCATGTGGCCGCCATCTTTCTTTCCAGAGGGAGGAGGGCGGAAGGGAGCAACACCCTTTCCCCTCTGAGCAGAAATGATTGCCTGGATTTACGCATAGTCCTTTCACTTTTCTGCTCCAAGCTGCTGGGTTCTGCATTAGGTCATTGTGCTTCTGGGGCTGTGGCCGTGCTGGAGAGCCGCTCGTGGGGGCAACTGGTGGCCTCGGTAGGGCGTGAAGGACGGACCAGAACGCCCCCCTTCCCATGAGGTTTTAGTCGCCCCCACACCCCCGGCTCATACCTGCTGTCCACAAGGCCCCCATGTGGCCGCCATCTTTCTTTCCAGAGGGAGGAGAGCGGAAGGGAGCAACACCCTTTCCCCTCTGGGCAGAAATGATTGCCTGGATTAACGCATAGTCCTTTCACTTTTCTGCTCCAAGCTGCTGGGTTCTGCATTAAGCCCTTGTGCTTCTGGGGCTGTGGCCGTGCTGGAGAGCCGCTCGTGGGGGGCAACTGGTGACCTCGGTAGGGCATGGAGGACGGACCGGAACGCCCCCCTTCCCATGAGGTTTTAGTCGCCCCCACACTCCCGGCTCATACGTGCTGTCCACAAGGCTCCCATGTGGCCGCCATCTTTCTTTCCAGAGAGGAGAGGGCGAATGGGGCAACACCCTTTCCCCTCCGGCAGACCTGATGGGCTGGATCAACGCATAGTCCGTTCACTTTTCTGCTCCAAGCTGCCGGGTTCTGCATTAAGTCCTTGTGCTTCTGGGACTGTGGCCATGCTGGGGAGCCGCTCGTGGGGGGTGACTGGTGACCTCGGTAGGGCGTGAAGGACGGACCGGAAGGCCCCCCTTCCCATGAGGTTTTAGTCGCCCCCACACCCCCGGCTCATACCTGCTGTCCACAAGGCTCCCATGAGGCCGCCATCCTTCTTTCCAGAGAAGAGAGGGCGAATGGGGCAACACCCTTTCCCCTCCGGCAGACTTGATGGCCTGGATTAACGCATAGTCCTTTCACTTTTCTGCTCCAAGCTGCCGGGTTCTGCATTAAGTCCTTGTGCTTCTGGGACTGTGGCCATGCTGGGGAGCCGCTCGTGGGGGGCAACTGTTGACCTCGGTAGGGCGTGAAGGACGGACCGGAATGCCCCCCTTCTCGTGAAGTTTTAGTCGCCCCCCACACCCCCGGCTCATACCTGCTGTCCACAAGGCTCCCATGCGGCCGCCATCCTTCTTTCCAGAGAAGAGAGGGCGAATGGGGCAACACCCTTTCCCCTCTGGGCAGAAATGATGGCCTGGGTTAACTCATCGTCCGTTCACTTTTCTGCTCTAAGCTGCTGGTTTCTGCATTAAGTCCTTGTGTTTCTGGGGCTGTGGCCATGCTCCAAACTTAACTCTGATTTTCAGGGAGAAAGATTGGGTGGTTTACTTCTCATTGATCACTTTGTATATAGAGAGATGTCGCGCGGCCGTGTAAGCGGCCGCGCGGTTTTGAGAAAAAGTCCTCGTTCCCGCATACTCGAGCTGTGTTTGTAGAGGCTTCTGGTCACCAGGGTTCCATCTGGTGGAGGCGGGATGCGGCGCCTACTCCATCTGGAACTTGCCGGTGCTCTTGGCTCTTTTTGGAACCTGTTTTTTCTTTTTTCTTTTCCTCCGGGATCCCGCACCCTCCATGTGTTCCTTCTCTTATTATGAACGCTTCAAAGATGGCGCTGGGGGGCGGGCTGTGGGCATGACTTCCGGAATCAGAGGTTACCTGGGAGGTGTAGTCCGGCAGATTTGAGAAAAAGTCCTCGTTCCCGCATACTCGAGCTGTGTTTGTAGAGGCTTCTGGTCACCGGGGTTCCATCTGGGGGAGGCGGGATGCGGCACCTACTCCATCTGGAACTTGCGGGTGAACTCGGCTCTTTTTGGAACCTGTTTTTTCTTTTTTTTTTTCCTCCGGGATCCCGCACCCTCCATGTGTTCTTTCTCTTATGCTTAAGGCTTCAAAGATGGAGCTGGGGGGCGGGCTGTGGGCATGACTTCCGGAATCAGAGGTTACCTGGGAGGTGTAGTCCGGCAGATTTGAGAAAAAGTCCTCGTTCCCGCATACTCGAGCTGTGTTTGTAGAGGCTTCTGGTCACCGGGGTTCCATCTGGTGGAGGCGGGATGCGGCGCCTACTCCATCTGGAACTTGCCGGTGCTCTCGGCTCTTTTTGGAACCTGTTTTTTCTTTTTTCTTTTCCTCCGGGATCCCGCACCCTCCATGTGTTCCTTCTCTTATCTGTACAGGATTTTTTAGGTTTCTACATTGCATACTTTCAATATTGAACAGGAAAAATAAATGGACAATTTTCAGGGTTGAATAGAAATGGCATTTACTTTATCTTTTTCACAAACATTTTAATATAGTCTTTCTCTATGCAGAAATTTGGATCCTATATATTCAAAAGTGAAATATAATAGCTGTAAATAGTTTCAGCGCTTAACAAATTATTTGACTTTTAATACTATAAAGCTCTAATTGATGATTTCACAGGCTTAAGAAAAAAGGTTTCAGGAAGGTAAAATGACATGCCAAGGCCAATGGTACCGAGCATGCCAGACATAGCATATAAACTCACAGACATTTAGGTCTAAAATATTTCTGCATATCATTATTAGATGCATGTTTTTAAAATTTTGGTTTTGAAGAGATCCATACACATTAGATAAGTATTTTTTATAGTCCATTTTGAAAAGCATTAATAATCTATCACAGCCTTTGACAGAATCTACAATTTAAAATTTATTAAATATAAATAATTCATATGTGTGAATCTGATTTATATATACACACAAACAAACACACACACATATATTATATATACACATCATATATAAAAATAGCAAACTTTTGGCAACTCAAGTAATCCACACAATTAGTAAATTGCAACTAATTTACTAATTCACTGAATTACTAATTGTAACTAATTGTAATTGTAAATTAGTAACTCAGGATGACAGAATGCTTATGTTTATTTTGTGTGTATGTGTGCATGTATGGGTGTAAATAAATATGTATATCTTTAACTTTACTTTTATTGTATTTACTTAATCTGATTTATCTTTTTTTATATATTTTGTTTTTCAGGAAATGAGGGCAAGAACCAAACATGCAGTGCTCTATGCTCAAGATTCACTTCTAACAATGATCAGGGGATCACATGCAGTGCCAGAGATAATATCAGGGTTGGTAGAATGCAAGACAGGTTACTTAAAGCATGGATTATTCCCCCTGTTCCTTGTCAAAAATGCAATGTCAGTCTTTTGAAGTAAAGTTAGTTTACACGCATAGAAGCATTAATGTTTTAGGAATACAACATTATCAATGAAAACTAACCTAATTGCATACGTATATTTTTCCAAACATTTCTTACTTTTTTCTGATATTTTTATCTTTTATTTTAGACCACTTCATTGGTTCAGTGCTCAGGGCTTAGTCATGGTTCTATGCTCAGGGATCACTCCTTTCTGGGCTCTGGGGACAATATGTATCAGAGACAGAACTCAGGTTGGCCACATGTATGGCAAATGCTCTAGCCGTTGTACAGTTAAAACTGTACCAAACATTTTAATTTTAATTTTAATGTTTAATTTACTGTTTTCACTTTGAAAAAATTTCATTTGCACAGCTGTGTAGCTTCCTGAAGCAATGATAGATTAAAGTTCTTTGTATATCCTTTTTAGTAACTATATAAAAATAGCACTGCCAGCTCTCTCTCTCTCTCTCTCTCTCTCTCTCTCTCTCTCTCTCTCTCTCTCTTTCAGGTTTGTGACACCCGAGACCAACGACTCACCCTCTTGCCTGAGCCCCAGGCCGCCACCCAGACCCAAATCGCCTGTTCTGCGACCCACTCCTGCACTGCACCCCTGCCCAACTTTTAATACCTGTATTGCAAACTATAACACCCAAAAGGAGAGAGAGAGAGTAAAAGGGAATGCACCTCTCACAGATGCTGGGGGTGGGACTTGGGGTGGGGTTGGGAGGGATACTGGGATCATTGGTGGTGGAGAATGGGCAC